ATTCCATCTGGCCCCTGGACCTGGCGTGTCCAGGTGCATAAGCAAATCATTAACTACTTCCTTCTGGATTACAGGGGAGTTGTTCTGCTCACCATCTTTATCTTCCAGCCCGGGAGGCTGAATACCCTGGGAGTAGCTGGTCTGACAATTAAAGACGAAGGCAAAGAAGGAATTAAGTATCTCAGCCTTCTCCTCGTCCTTGGTCGCAATGTTTCCCCCTGCATCCAGTAAGGGATGGACATTCTCCCTGACTCTCTTTTTGTTGATGTATTTATAGAAACTTTTTTTGTTGTCCTTTATATTAATGGCCAGGTTGAGTTCCAGCTGGGCTTCTGCCTTCCTAATTTTTTCTCTATAACCTAACAAGATCTCTGTACTCCTCCTGAGTTGCCTGTCCCCTCATCCAGAGGATGGTAAACCCTCCTTTTCTTCCTTAAGTCCCATCAAGAGCTCTTTGTTCATCCAGGCCGGCCATTTTCCCCGCCCTTTAATTTTGCGCCTCATGGAGACAGCCTGCTCCTGGGCCTTTAGGATTTCCTTCTTGAAGAGCGTCCAGCTTTCCTGGACACCTTTGCCCCGCAGGATTATCTCCCAAGGGACTCTCCCAACCAGCATTCTGAACAGGCTAAAGTCTGCCCTGCCCTCCAGAAGTCTAAGGTGCAGGTTCTGCTAACTCCCTTCCTTACCTCACTAAGAATTGAAAACTTAACCATTTCATGATCGCTAAGCCCAAGACGATCTCCGACCTCCACATCTCCCACTAGTCCCATGGTAAACCCTCCTTTTCTTCCTTAAGTCCCATCAAGAGCTCTTTGTTCATCCAGGCCGGCCATTTTCCCCACCCTTTAATTTTGCGCCTCATGGAGACAGCCTGCTCCTGGGCCTTTAGGATTTCCTTCTTGAAGAGCGTCCAGCTTTCCTGGACACCTTTGCCCCGCAGGATTATCTCCCAAGGGACTCTCCCAACCAGCATTCTGAACAGGCTAAAGTCTGCCCTGCCCTCCAGAAGTCTAAGGTGCAGGTTCTGCTAACTCCCTTCCTTACCTCACTAAGAATTGAAAACTTAACCATTTCATGATCGCTAAGCCCAAGACGATCTCCGACCTCCACATCTCCCACTAGTCCCTCTTTGTTCGTGAAAAGTAGGTCTAGCGAGGCACCTCCCCTGGTAGGCTCACCTACCAGTTCTGTCAGGAAGTTATCTTCCATACACTCGAGGAACCTCCTAGCCTGCCTGCTCTCTGCTGTGTTACATTTCCAGCAGACATCCGGTAGGTTGAAGTCCCCAACCAGAACAAGGGCTGGCATTTGCAAGACTGCAGCCAGCCGTTTATAGAATACTTCATCGACCTGCTCAACCAGGTTGGGTGGTCTATAGCAGACTCCCAGCACAAAATCACCCTTGTTAGCCTTCCCTTTCACCCTTACCCATAAACACTCAACTTCATCATCACTGGAGTCTATACAGCCAAAATACTCCCTAATGTACAGAGCCACCCTCTCCCCCCTTCCTTGCCTATTCCTTCTGAAGAGCTGATAGCCACTCATCACAGCATTCCAGTCGTGACTGTCATCCCACCACGTTTCCGTGATGGCAACTACATCATAGCTGTCCTGCCGCACAATGGCTTCTAGCTCCTCCTGTTTGTTGCTCATGCTACATGCATTAGCGTAGATGCACTTGACCTGGGCTATTGATTTCACCCCCATCCTTGGCCCTTTCCCCCCATGCTCATTACCAGCAGGCCCGGTTTTATCCCCTTTCCCCTTAACTTCTAGTTTAAAGCTCTGTCCATGAGCTTTGTTAACTCCTGGCCTAATACCCTTTTCCACTTCTGGGAAAGTGTTTTCCCACTGTTCACTAGCAGCCATTTCTAAACATCTATCCCTTTTCTCACATGAAATGACAGAGTGAGAGTCCTCACTAATGCAGCATCCTTCAAGTCCTGGCATGCTTCCCATAGGTTTAATCCTAACAGGCCCAGTTATCTCCCCTTCCCCCCTCATATCTAGTTTAAAGACCTGTAAATGAGCTCTGCTAACTCCTGCCCCAAAATTCTTTTCCCCCTCTGGGACAGTTGTATCCTGCCTGACACTGGCAGGCCAGGGGTCTCGTATAGCTGGCTATGCTCAAAAAACCCAAAGGCCTGCCGATAACACCAGTCGCAGAGCCACAAGTTGATATGCTGCCTCTTACTATCATTTTCCTTATTTGTGGTTGCCACTGAAGGGATAGAGGAGAACACAACTTGCATTCCTGATCCCTTGAGCAGCCATCCGAAGGCTCTGAAATCTCTTTTAATTGATTTTGGCCTCCTCCTACCCATTCCATCACTACCCACCTGAAATACTAACAGGGGGTAATAATCAGAGGGATTTACTAGGTCTGGGAGTTTGTCCATCACATCCCTGACCTGTGCCCCAGGGAGGCAGCAGACTTCCCTGTGAAGCGGGTCAGGGCAGCATATTGGTCCCTCTGCCCCCCTCAGCAGAGGGTCACCCACAACAATGACCCTTCTCCTTTTCCTTTTGGTGCTAGTAGCGATGTTGCATTTGTAGTGATGTGCATTTCCTGACTTCTCTAGTCTTGGTGTGCCATCCTCCTCTCCATCAGCCAGTTCCTCCTGCAGGACTCCATACCTGTTCTGCAGGGGTAACTGGGGATCTGGGAGGGGCCAGGAGGGGACTTGCCTGCTTCCCCAAGCAGGGACCTGTTTCCATTTCCCCTCTTCTCTCAGATCTCCTCCTATTGCTTGGTGACAAGAGGGGAGGGGGTCCTCCAATTTACATGGGGGCTCAACCTGTTCCCCTACTCTCAGGGAGTGGGCCCACCAGTTAATTTCTCTCCCACACTCCCTGATGCTCCTCAGCCTCTCCACTTCATCCTTCAGCTGGGCCACCAGGCTGAGCAGATCATTCACCTGTTCACATCTGATACAGGTGTTGTCCCCGCTGCCCACCATTGCGAGTGCCAGTCTCCGGCACTCTCTGCAGCCAGAGGCCTGGACACCCGCATGTGTGCGTGGGGCCTCTGTCTGGGTGCCCACAGCTTTCCTAAAAACAGCCTTCAACCGAGTAGAAACCATAGCTGAACCCCCCAGACTGACTGAACGTACCTTGTACTCTCGTAGAGGCGCATCGCCCGGCCGTACAGACTGCAGGTGCTGCCCGCACCGGGGCATACACCCAGCACTGGGTGCTCCCTCTGGGCTCTGGACTAGTCCCTGCCCTCCCTGAGGCTTCTTATCACCCGGGGGTGGTGGTTGCTCCGCCCAGGCTCCCTCAGACGCACTGCTCATCAGCTGACAGCCCCAGGTCAAGCAGAGAGCTTGTCCCGGCTTCAAAAAGCTCCCAAAAGAGCTTCTCGTCGGCCCTTTTTGCTGCAGATCTTGGCATATTCCACATCCAACACCTAAACTGATGTATGTAAAGTAAACAAAATTAAGCATTTTAGCCTATTTTCCTCAATGAAAGGAAGCTTCTGCACTTTGCACTTTGTCTTCCTACAGCCTGCTCCTAATGGCTTGTCAGGCTATTGGGCAATTTAATCAAACTCTACAGAAGAGAGGATGATAAATCCCAAGAAGTTCCAGGAAACCAAATGTTAAGATGAGCCCTTTTCTCATCAGCCCTGAGAGAGCAGCCAACACACCAAAGCACTTGAATGCACAAAGTCTCCAGCTGCATTTTGACCTTTCAATAAAGTTCCCTGCATTTCCTGTCTCTTGTCCAGCTATCAGAGGGCTTGGGAGACAGCTCAAGGTTTCCTGCCGCAGGAAAGGAATCTAGAAGGGAGATAATAACCTCACTGCAGCAAAACAGATGGAATAACACAGCCTGCAGGAAAACTGCACACCACTTCCAAACTGCATCCATACAGTCCCATTGTTTAAAAGCATATATCCGCTTTAGACGCATAAAGAACATTTATTTCAACAAGTTTCCTTTAGAAAAGAACTATGCATCTTTATTTAATTTTTTTTTCTCAGAATGAAGAAAAAATCCCATATTTTTCATGAGAGGAAAAATAAACATTTACCATGGGAAAGCTATTTACCTCCAGTAATTTTATGAACATTTCCCGTTCATTTCCATAACTAAAGAGAGCTGCAAAACAAACATCTCTCCTCTATTAGCTATGATCTTATATTGAAATAGAAGAAAATAAAAATAAAAATAAGAAGCTCAGCACAAAAAACTAATTTTCCTGAGTAGCGCTGAAGAAAATAAAGAAGGCTTGGCAGCAGCAGCAGCAGAAGTCATTTCTGTTTCACATCTGCATTGCTCCCAAGCGGGAAAAGGCAAAAATCACCCAGAAAAAGGCTATCGCAACCCGCAGACAAGCAGAAGGCTATAAATTTCATTTCAGCAGAACAACTGGAGACAGCCTCCACAGCGTTCCTCTCCCTCCCAGGAGAGGCCCAAGGCAGACCTGGCTTCCATCGCCCATCTGCTCAAGACCTCGGAGCTGCCACCTCCGTGCCCGGAGACCTCCCCGGCCCGGCGCCTCCTCACCTTCCCCGGGAGAGATCTGGAAGCCACGGTCCCTGCTGGGCACGTCCTCAAACACCTCAGCCCCGCACCGCTGAGTGCCGGACGCGGCGGCCTGGCCCGGCTGACCCTGCAGGCCTCCGGCCACCCCCGGCCTGCGGAGAGAGCGCCGGTCCCCGCGGCGCCTAAAGACCTCCGGGACTCACCGCCCCCTCGAAAAACACCCCCAAACGTCGGTGCCTTTACCGGCGGCACCACAGACCCTCTGAGGGGGGCGACAGAGGCCCCCAGGGCGCTTCTGAGGGCAAAGCCCCGCTGAGCACCCCCGCGCTCCCCTCAGCGCCCCGGCTCCCCCCACACGCCCACAGGCCTCGCGCCGCACTCCCCTCAAAAAAAAACACGGCGCCACCACCACCCTTTTTCCCCTGCAAATTACCCCAAACCGCCGCCTCACCCCCGCAGCCAGCGGGTCTCCGCCGACCCCCCCGCCGCCGCCGACTGCTGCCTACCTGCGCTGGGCTCGGTGCGGTCGCGTCGCCTCCGCATGGGTGCGGGCGGCGCGGCCCCGCCGCAGGTAACGGCTCCGCGGGAGGCGGCGGCGGAGGAGGTTGAGGGTGGGGGGGCTGCGGGAGGCGGGGGCGCGGCGGCACGTGGCGGAGCGCAGCCAATGGGGCGAGCCGAGCGCGGCTCCGCAGCAGGGCGGGGGGGAGTGGGGCCTGCGCGAGGCTGAGGGGAGGCAGCGCGCGGGACGGCGGCCGAGGCGGCGGAGGGGGAGCGCGGCCGTGGGCGGCTCGGTGGCAGAAGTGCCCTAAACCTTCCGCAGCCCAGCCTCTCGGGGTGTTATTTCCCGAAATTAACGTTTTCCAGGCCTTTCTTTCCTCAAGAAATCGCAGGTTGGGGGTTTCCCACACGCACACAGAACCAAGGGGCCGTGAGGGGGACGCCCTCAGGCCGGCCACCCCGCTTCCCCGCCTGGGTTCTGGCTGCCTGCGCAGCGCCCTCAGCCCTCTCCCTCTGGAAGAAGGAGATCGGTCCCCAAAAGACGGCGTTTTTATCTGCTTTTATTGTGCCTTGTTACCCCCGGGAGCTCGGGTGCGTGAGGGTTTTCAGGCCTCCCCGCAGCTCCCTCAGGAAACTAGTTTTCCTGATGAGCCTCGCCCCAACGCTGCCACAATAAGCATAAAAAAGAAATGTCTGATTTAGTGGTGGACTGGTGTGAACGGCTGCTTGACGTGCAAGAGAGGAGAAACAACCTTGCAAGACCCTCCTGGCCATGGGCATAGAAGTTACAAGTTGAACCACCAAAAAACCAACCCCAAGAATAGAGGTGAAAAACCACAGAAGCAAAACTAGAAAGCCTGGCCGCTGGCTGCAGGAGAGCTGATTAAGCAGGGAAGCAGATTAAGCCATTACAGATTGTGCTAGCGAAGAATTTTTTATTATTTTTTTAAAAATATCTGGCTTATGGTATCTAAAAATTGCTCCCTAGCCTAGATGATTGCCGCAAAACAGGAACAGTAATTCCAGACATCAGTGGCTGCTATTTTCTGAGCACTGATATTATGCAGCACAGAACAGGCTATGGTGGCCGTATCAGGAAAGCCAGGAGGATATGCTTGCTCTTAGACAAGGTGGGATATAACTGGCCTTGCAACGTAATTCGCAATTAAGAAGGGGTGATGTGGTAGAGGTCCACATTGGTTCCCTATGAGAAAGGCTGCAGCTCAAGGAGATCTGAAAACAACCATGATTTTCTGACAGGTTCCCTTATTGCAAGGGATGGATGAGCTCATGTCCTGAAGCAGGACAGTTTAGATGCTTTCAATTTTTATATAAGATGAAAGCAGATGTGCTTTTTACCCATATATTAATCTTCTCTTCATGTTTCTTGCCAAATTACATTTCGGTCTCTACACACAACTTTTGTGTTCTGTTGGCTGTTCAGCAGTTTGATTTATAGTCAGGGCAGATCATAGAATCATAGAATGGTTTGGGTTGGAAGGGACCTTAAAGATCATCGAGTTCCAACCCCCTGCCATGGGCAGGAACACCTCCTACGACAGCAGGTTGCTCAAAGCCCCGTCCAGCCTGGCCTTGAACACTTCCAGGGATGGAGCATCCACAACTCTGGGCAGCGTGTTCCAGTGTCTCACCACCCTCACAGTGAAAAATTTCTTCCTGATACCTAATCTAAATCTCCCCTCTTCCAGTTTAAAACCATTACCCCTTGTTCTATCACTACACGCCCTTGTAAAAAGTCCGTTGCCAGCTTTCTTGATCCTTGATCATTTTTTGTACATTTCAAGAGAAAATATATAAATCATAGAATCATAGAATCATTGAGGTTGGAAGAGACCCTTGGGATCATCGAGTCCAACCAAGTATTTCCTCCTCCATTTTTTCAGCAGTTGGCATAACTGAGGACAGAAGATTTATTTAGGATTAGCCCTTAATTTTATTCCTCCATAATTGCAAGCAACCATTCATTGCTTTGGACGTTCAGATGAAGCCAGAAGGTGCAAGTAAAGACCCCAACTGTACAGCCAGGTGTGCACAAGGAGTGTCACAGGGCCTGTCACGTTCGGCTTCAGCCAGGAAACAAGCAGGCTTTGCAAGCAGCCTTGAAGAAGAGCAGCTGCAACAAAGATGCATTATATTAATTTTTTAGGAAAATGCAAGAGTGACCTCCATGGATCAGATATAAATACATAAAATGCCTTTCAGTTTTTATCAGTGAACAGGAACAAGCCACTGCTGAATCAGAGACCTCGGAGATCTCAGCTCTGAGCATAACTAAGTCCATACAAGAAGAACCTTTTCAGATCCAATCCTCAATTCTGCCTTCTAGGAAAGAGTCTGAATCCTGGAGTCTGCTACTTCCCATGTTCTAGCTGTCCTACTTTGACGGGTGGGGTAAGGTAAGTCATCACTTACTGGAGAATGCTCCATTTAAGTAAATGGCTCTCCCTTATTACCAGTCTCTGTAATTATTTCTGTGGCAGAGCTCTAATGGTTTTATTAAGCTGTGTTATGCTTTAATGTTTATTCTGATTGATGAATGAATTACGGGATAGTGACACTGCTGCTGCACTAGAGAAGAAATGCTTAGACAGTCCCACTGTAGTCCCTAAGAGAAGCATTTTCTCAACAAAGTGCTTTTGTAACTAGGTGTTTGTTGCTAAAAATACAGGCTGTTCTCCACAAAAATGTAAAAAAAGTGAATTTTCTCCTGTGGTTAGACTTAAATTGTATACCTGGAAAAGTGTCTGTAATGAAAAAAAGCATCTGTAGGTGGGACCTGTCCATTTTGATGGAGGATAAAGGCAAAACCACATAGAGGATGAGCTTGGGTAACTGGGAAGCTTCTTGAAGGGGCATAATTGGGAAAATACGTCTCAGATTAAAGTGAAGGTATAGAAGATGAAGGAACGCGTTAACAAAATGAGCAGTAGCCAACTGCTGAGACGAGGTGGTGGTCAACCAAGGGTTTTCAAGCAGCTCAGAGATGAAGTAGTTCAGGTACTAACTGCTGTCTCTAACTTCTCACTTAAAACTACCTTGGTATCCAGGGGGACTGAAAAGTTGCTCATGTGATACCGGATTTTTGAAGGGATTTCAGATAAGATTTTAGAAGCTGTAGACCTGGAAGCCTGACATCCTTACTAGATAAATATGTAGAAATGATGCTAAAGAACAGAAAAGTGGGCACATGAAGATGACACATTAGGGGAAGTCATTATGGCTTTTGTGAAGCAAATTACCATCTCAGATCTATCAGCTTTCTTTGAAGAAGTCAACAAGCTTGTGGATTCAATTAAACATCTATGATTTCCAAAAGCACTCAGATTCCTCCCCAAAGGAAGTAAAAAAATGGGCTGCTAATGGATATGAAATATGGACAAATAACGATAGAAATGGAGGTGAATAGTGATTTGCGAAATGTGCTGGTGATACTAAGCTATTCAGGGTAGGTCTAACTTAGAAAAACTGCAAAAGACTTTACGTTACTAATCGACTGAGAGAAAAAATGGCAGGTGAAATTAAAATCAGGTAAATATGAAAGGATAGCATACGAGGAAAAAAAAAATAATCCTAACTTTATGTACATACTGAGGAACTTGGAGTTGAATTTTACCACTGAGGAAAAAGGCCTTAGGGTTATGAGAGGTGGTTCTGTGAAAACATCAGCTCAGGGCTCAGCAGTGATCAAAATGGAAACTGAGAACTGTTAGGATTATTCTTAAATTTTATTAGGAGAGAAATAGAGACTGACCCAAAGAGCAAGAATAATTATGCCATTGTATAAATCCCTGTTCCACCTGCATCTTGAATTCCCTGTGCAATTCCAGTATCCCCATCTCAGAAATATTATGGTAGAACTGGAAAATATTCAAATAATTTAATAGAATGATCAGGAGGGCTTCCAGGTGGGGCATGGCTAACTCGATTGGGTTTCTTCGGTCTGCAAGGGAGGGGGAATAATAGCATGGTCTGTCTAAAATCTCCAGTGCTCCAAATAAGGAACAAGAATAAAGATGGTTCACTAAAATATCAGACACAAGAACCGAGGTACATCAAATGAAAGTAGAACTTGGAAGGCTCAGAGCAAACAAACGGAGGTAATGCTTCATACAGTCCATAGTTAAGCTGTAGGAAGTCTTTGCTTCAGGTTATTGTGGATACCAAAACTTTGCACGGGCTTCAAAAAGCAACTGAAAAATCATCAAAGGCTCTTGATCTAGCTCAGCAAGTTCCTGACTTGCAAGTTGCTGGATCTGGGAAGATATTTTGGGGAAATACAGAACATGTTTGCCCTGTTCTTACTGTCTTCATACTCGCGTACTATCAGCCACTGTCAGAAACTGCTGGCCTACAAGGAGCTTTCATGTGACCCAGTAACGGTTTTTATGTAGTTCTGATTATTTTAACGTAATCAGCCTGATGATGTTACTTCCCAACCCAACATGTTTTTAATGCCCCCAAACCATTCCAGGTTATTAAATAATTGTGTAAAATTTCTGTGCCTCCTTTTTGTCTTTGCCTTAATTCCTTCACCATTTTATATTATGTTTAAGCCCATGTGCATTTTTGGCACTGCCCACTATTTTTTTAAAAAATCTCATTAAAATTCTTTAATGTGGTCTTACCAGAAGCAATCAAAACAAATTAATGCCTGTAGGTGTACTGCCTTTATCACTTCCAGAGGAATGGAGGTTGTTAGTGCAATTCTAAATACAACCTTGATGGAAGGAGTAATGTTATACAGCGTGCTGCTCTAGATGAAAGTAGAGCACTGTACTGCAGAGAAGTCAGTGGTCAAAATGGGTGGATGCAAAGCAGTTTGTTATTCTTCAAACATCTAAGTTGGCATTGTGGATTAAGGGTAAACAGGACAGAAATATTCATACTTGCCTTTTTAGCTGGCACAGACAGGGTTAGGACTACTGGAGTAAAGAAGTATCAATACAAATAAGTAATTTATAATGAAGATAGACCAGATATGATTTGTGTCCTTTTCAGTTTCTTTTTACTAGAAGAAAGTATTTTCATGCAGTTCATATAATTTGAAGTCTATTAATAATTGTACAAAGCCTTAACAGCAGAGATTGTAATGTATATAT